GTGCTTAAAAGCCTGAATTTTGCCTGAAACTCTCAGACTGAAGAAGTCTCTTGGAGGAGAGACGAAACGTTTCATTAGATTAGAGTGTGACCTTTCTTTTGGCCAGGCAGTGTATCAGCTGCTTTCCTACTGTTTAATTAATCTATTGGACAAAAGTTGGGAGGTTTTGCCTAAAATAAAGGATAAGCTGTTCTGATTGTGTTTGACCCAAATTATACACAAGATACGTCGTACAGAAATGTCTGCAAACATGGAGGGGCTCATTTGCAGCAGCAGATTGCAGAAACACTCAGAATTGCTCCTTGTTTTTTTCTCRTTACTCTGTGGCTTGTTAGGCTTCGCAGGCTTGTTGTGAACTGTTAGCTGCTGTTAAACATGAATGAGAGCGCTTATCTTGATGAGGCAGTAAGATGGCCCAGCACTGTTCAGTGAAGCGCTGGACACATGACCTCAGGCTGCAGACCAATCCATCATAAAGATAAYGGGTGAAWGATTTGTCTAACTAGAAAAAATGGRAGATAATGCACTATGCTCAGCAACAAAACATTTAAAAATGTGTTAAAATACATTTATGTTAGAGAAATAATTTCATATCATGCAACGAAACCATCAACATAAGTTAAATAATTGCATCATAATGCATAAAGATATAAATGCTAGGATGGAACTGACTCAAAAGGCATTTTAAAAGTTTTGGATTTCTCTTTTTGAAGAGAAAGCAAAAAGTTAAAAACTTATGAGCAGGCAATACCTGTTATTAATAACGACAATTTAACAAATCAACACAAATAAATACATTGAATGCAAGTGTTCACGTCAAAAGACCTCCAAAGAATCAGAAATACCCTGAGTCAGAAATTCTGTGCAATGTAAAGCTATAGCCCTGGGCCAGCGGCAGAACTATGTGCATTTGGCAGAATGTTGAGTGTTGGAAACACAAATTCCATTGTGTTCTTCTCTCAACAGGGGGACCCGGGCCCAGAGGGACCACGAGGATTGCCTGGTATGGCGGGACCTCAGGTGGGTTTTGGCTGCTGTAAATGGTCTGAATCTAGGAGAATGTTGCATATTCGTGAAATAAAAAAAAGTGATTCTCTGATACAGCACAAGAAATGTGTTTAGAAATGAACGAGTAGATTTTCAAACTTTTATCACAATGTTAGTGTCRCCTCGACTTCCTCAACAATCTCTCCAACCTTGTTGTTTGTGCTGCAGGGCCCAGCGGGACACGCCGGCCTGCCTGGATTGAAAGGTGATAAGGTGATCTAAATATTTATATTATTGCAGTGTATACGTGTGTTATGTGTCACTAATGCAGGTCATGTAATTACTCTGGATGTAATTACAAGAAACCTTGTTGACATTTTGATACACAGCACACAATATTTAACAGTTTAGAAGCAGAAGTCGCCGATGAACGATTAAACGTAAAAGCAAACTTAAAAATATTTGAGTTTTTGCTTTTGCTCAATGCTTTGCATTTAGGCAAACGTCTGCAGAATAAATCAGGTGATTTTTCTTTTAAAGGTGACATATTGTGCATTTAAATCGTTCTTTTTCTCATTCAAATCATTCACGGGGTCTTTGTAAAGTGGAACTGCAATGTTTTGGTCTGAATTCCTCCTTGTTGTAACTCCACAACACCCTCTTTCACCCCCTTTTCCTGAGGTGTGTCGCAGATCAACTAGTTTTGAGGCTGTCTCTTTAAAGGGATCCCCGATTAGTTGCATCATTAGACCTTATTTAATAAACATATATTTTAACTGTAAAGTAAAGACTGTAAAAATACTGTAGGCTGTTTAGTTTTTATAATTTTTAAATTAAAAGTTTTAAATTATATTACACGGACGGGGCCATTTTATTTACATGCAAAGCATTCTGGGTAAATGATGACGTGGATAGGTCCTCAATGTGAGGCTGCTAGCGAGCTATATCCACCCTGAAGGTTAATCTTAGACAATATCTGATGATCGACTCTTTTAAATGAAACCAGAGAGCGTTGACAGAGAGGAGAAGGTAGAAATGACTCAGCCTGTAACTGAAAATATAGATGGAGGACAACAGTTTAGATTGTTAGCTTTAGCGTTAGCGCCAACACTATGGCTG